GCGCCTTTTGTGGGACAAAACCGTGAGACCTTCGGGTCAAAGCGGACAATACCTCGCAGGTTGGGTGCGGGTCTTTACAAATGATATCAGAGCGGTCACCAGTCCGCAGTCGTGGGAGTCACTAAGTGCTACACGGTGGAGCCGTGGGAGTCACTAAGTGCTACACGATGGTCTGGTGTGATCTTGGTCCTGTGGATGGACTCGGCTTGACAGGGACGTCAAGCATTAAAGGTGGAGAGATTGTAACGCCCCCGATCCCACATTAAGAGGATGTGTGGATAAGGAATGATATATATGTAGAGACTTAATCCCAAACTTGTGAGGCGCATTTTGTGAGACAAAATCGTGAGACCTTCGGGTCAAAGCAGACAATACCTCGCAGGTTGGGTGCAGGTCTTTACACTATTAGATTGACGCTATACTAGAGGTAAAGTATAGTGTGTTGACTGAGAGTATTTTGAAGAGTTTGTGGGATAAGCTTAAGGGTATTTATATTTCGAACTCGTTTGACTAACAGATTATGTTTAAAGATGAATCTGTATTCTCTGAAGATGGAAGAAGGTATGAGTCTTCATAATCACCTGAATGAGTTTAATAGATTAGTTTTTCAATTGCTGACGATTTCTGTTGATGAGTTAAAAGATGAAAAAAAAGCTCTAATTTTGTTGTCATCTTTGCCCAAGTCTTATAGGCTTTAAGTTTAGACTGTGTTAGTGGGTAGGTCTACTTTAAAGTTGGATGATGTGACTACCTTGTTGCGTGAGAATGAAAGGTTTATGTGAGTTCAGAACTCATCACTTGGAGGGAGTACATTAGTTGTAGAGGGTTTTGATCGAGAAAAGACTCAAAAAAAGATTGATGGATCAAGAGGGAGATCCAAGTCAAGAAACATAAATTATAGTGACATAAAATGTTATTATTATGGTGAAAAAAGATATATCCAAGTGCGCTGCAAGAAACTGAGAAGAGATATGGCTGCTTTCAAAAAGACGAATGATGAAAAAAAATCAGATGAAGAAAAGAATGATACTACAATCGTTGTGTCTGATGATGGTGATGTTATTTTGACGACTTGTGTAGATAAGACTCAGACTTTGAAAAGTGATAAAGGTTGGGTTTTAGATTCTGTTGCTACAATTTATGTTTGCAATGATAGGAGTTGTTTTGTGGAGTTGGATGAGAATGAGAAGTATGAAAAAATTACGGTTGCCAACAACGAAAATGTGCAGATTCAAGGCATTAGGAGTGTTCGCCTTAGATCTCACAATGGTGTTGTTAAGACGCTTCATCATATAAGGTATGTACCAAGTTGTAGCTATAATTTGATTGTTTTAGTTGAGTTAGCTTATTGGGGGTATACATATTATGGTAGTAATAATTGGTTGAAAGTGTACAAGAATGATAGTGTGATTCTACAAGGAAATAAGATCAAAAATTACTTGTACATGCTTGATGGAGGCTCAGTTGCTAGGATCCCTGTAATGAAAAAAAAGAAAAAAGGTAAGCATGTTAACTTTGCAAATACTGTTGAAGTATTTACAGATTCAAGTCAACGGAAGATTAATTGGGATTTGCCTTGAAATCATCATGATCTCTATTGAAAGTTATAAAAGTTTTGAGTTTGTCTTGTATCCCACATCGGGAGTTTAGTAAAGGTATAAGGGGTTTCACCCTTATAAATAAGATGTTTTGGTTTTGGTTTTGGTTTGGTAATCCCAGAAAGTTAGACACCAAAAAAATAGCTAAATGAGTAGGTTGTTTAAAGGGAATAATTGAGTTTTAGGTTAAGTTTTTTAATAATGAGTTTTTAGAGATTTTTCTTAATCTAAAAGTCTCACAGTTATAACGATTTATTTGTTAATAGATTAAGTTTGGAGTACACCATTTTGAATTGGACCGAAACAAATATATTTATGTTTTTGTTCTTGATTATTTTGTGCGTAAGTGTTATTTGTGTATTGATTTTCTAACAAGTGTTATCAGAGCTTACAATAATTTTTTCTTTTCAAGTACAAAACCATTCCTAAAAGTTAAAGATGGAAGGATATCAAGAGAAGTAGTACCGGCTTTGATGAGAAAGCAAGTACAACTGTAAGAGTAAAAGTGAAGATGACAAAGCAAGAAGCTGCTCGATTGCTTTCAAAGTGCAAAGATGGAGGGATTCTTGAATTCAGAGATGTAGCTTGTGAGCTTGTGGACCTTCCAATGAATCGTGTTAGCGTTGTGTCCCCTTGCCCTGGTAGCAATCCGGTTCTCGATAGTATCCCTGAAGAGTATTAGATAGCATGGTAAACCATTCACTGTTAAGAGAATTTTGAGTTATCTGGGTTTTTTTCTTGTCAAAATTTTCGTAAGTGTCATGTAAAAATACAACACTTCATCCGAATGAATGGGTTCGGTTTGAGATTCAAATACTTAGTAGTGCTGTGATTCTTAACTGAACCTTTAAATGGGCCACAATATCAGTTCAGAAACTTGAAACATCAGACAATCTTGTTTTATTTTTAAATTCAAATAGTCAAAATTTAAATTTTAATCACTGAAATTAAAAATTTAACACTTTATGAACAGGCGACAATCTTGTCTTTTGCTTGTTTTAAGGTAGTGACCTAAGTGCTTGCCCAAAGGCCTTTCTAAATCCAGGGTTCCCATTGAAACTAGAAAGCCAACTTTTGTTGCAGGAAGGAGGGGCGTCTGGTAACCATTGCTATCCCAAACCCGAATCTTATTCATACTAAAATTATGTTTGAAGACAATGAGTTTTGCCTATGCAATTTTAGGAAGAAATTGAATTCAACAATTGGATGGGCAATTTAGAACAATTAGAAGGTTTTTTTTTTTTTGTTTTTTCTTTTCCTACGGCAACCAGTAAAACTTGTTTCTTGTTTTTTAGAATCTTCAAATGTCCTCTTGATCTGTTGGAATCCTGATAATGTCAGTGAATAGAGTAGTCAAAATTCTTCCCTCAAAAGGAGATTAAAATGAAATAAGCTTTGGAGCAGACATTGGGAGTGCTCATGGTGTTTTTGGGTCAATCAAAGTAACAGAGATCCCCTTCAAATGTAGCCCACTGATGACTTTTGCCGCTGATTTTATCCATTACTATATTAAGCAAGAAGTCGTGAGTTTACGTACAAAAAGTCACAAGTTTAGGCTATTGGTCTCTACTCACTTTCCTTGATAGAGAAAAAGGGGTCCCCATCGAGAGACAATGCCAGTTTTCTGTTGGACAAGGAAAAAGTGGGCCTTAAGTTGTTATATGGAACCTTCGATTACGTTTGCTGGGCTCAGATGTTTAAATCAAACCCATTGTCTAACTGCTACCATTTCACTCACTTCGTTGATGTTAGCCCAAATGACCAGTATTTGATATCTGTCATTCCGAAATGGAGCTTCTTTTTTTTTTTTTCTTGGTTCAAAAATTTTGTCTCAAAACTCTAATTTGCTACAGAATTTCAGGCAAGAAAAAACTAACATCTCTTTCAAAGAAAAAGGAAAAAAAATGTCTCCACATAACCCAATTCCAAAAGAAATATTTTAGCAATGTATGTTTTAATAAGAAGCCGGAGCTACTTTCACATAAGAATCATAACTTTAAAAAAATTTTAAATTTAAAATTATTAAATGTTACATTTTAAAATTTATTACATAAATAATTGAATTAAACTTTAAATTTTGAAACTATTTATCCACATTCTACACTACAATTTGCCTGATACAAGATAATTTAGGTTAAGGGGTTTTAATAATTTTTCTTGATTCTGAGAGCATCTGATTCAACTTGATCCAAGGAACACCAAACCTACTTGAAAGAATTCGAAAGTTGATTATACTCAAAAAAAAAAAAAAAGGCCTTGATTTATATTAAATATTAAAGCCAAATGGACAATTTTGACTAAGTCCTTGATTAAGATATGCAATTTAGAAGCTGATGCATTTAATGCTAACGTTTCCACAATTCAACGCGCAAACTTTGAAGGTTTCCTTTTGAATTTTAAACACTACAGGACACCCTTAAACCCAGTTTAATGGAAGAAAATTTCATTGTTGATTGATTTTTTGGAAAAAACAGATGGAGGTCCAAACTTCTCTCGAGAGAAAAAGGGAAGTCATGCTCTCTTCTTACGAGCTTTGATATGTCAATTGATTTATGTAAATATTTTGAAATTTAAATTCTGATAATTTATAATTTTTTTATTTTTAAGCTCTGAACGATTTATAAGAAAAGTTATAATTAAGGAAAATTAGTAATATCACCATAACATTTTTATAATATTATAAATAAATAATTAATTAATTTATATAATCATCTTCAACATTTAATAAATTTAAAATTAAATTCTGATATTTAAATATTTTTTATTCTAAACTATGATCCCTTTGAAAAAAAAAAATCATAATCAAAGAAATTACTAGATATCTAAGATGATCCCGTTTCTTGATGAGAAAAGCATGTTTAGAAGCGTAAGACACAGTCAAATGTTAGAAAAATGCAGACCCAAAGTCTAACAACCAGAAGTTAATTCAACCCTGCAAATTAATTTTAGAACATGCACTTTATTAATGTCGGGATGCCGGGAACCACTTTGATTAAATAATCCCTCGCTTTTAATTTGCTTCATAAACACACAGGTTTCTTCAACTGTTTTGTTGGATCGGTTGGAAATTTCACGGGCTATATAGCTAAGCTTGTGAAACTCTCAGACCAGTTCAGCTTAACGCATAGAATTTAGGTCTACTTTAATATTGTTATTGTTAGAAAAAATTTTGATTTAGAAAAAGTACGTTTAAAAAATTTGGCGCTGATTCTGGGCTCTATCATTAATGACTCTACCTCATTCCAGTATACATAAATTCCCAAATGTCAAAAACATTTTAATTAGGCAATTCGCAGTTGAAACTCAAAGCATGTCTCATGCCCCCTGTCTCACTCTCACCATTTCTCATATTTGTCAAGGGGAGGAGGATGAGGAGAAAATAATTAGATTTGATGAACAAGATTTGGTGGGTAAAACTAAAATGACATCCATTAACTTCTCATTCCATGCACTCCCAATCAATTCCATAGACCACAGCTTACAAACAACATATTTAAAATGATACTACTCCATATAAACTGTCTAAATATGTCAGCCTTAAAATCCATCAGTCCTTTCAACCAGATATCCATATAGATCTATACTTTAACTGCAGAAAGCTTGAATAAAAGATCTAAGTTCGTAGTAAAGAGAGAGTTCTGTATATTCAAAAACCAAAGCTCCTAGCTAAGTAAAATGAGGTTGTGAAGAATATGAATCAAAAAGTATAAGAAGAAAAAGAAAGGGAAAAGAAAGAAAAGCAAAAGGGATTGAAGCTTCAAGAATCATGATCTGTCCATTTCAAGTCCTTCAGCGTCGGCGTCTTCCATGATACTCTCCAATGAAGGTCTCCAGGAATCAACTTTTCCTGATCTATCTTTCTCCATTTCCGCCAAAAGATCCCCTAAGCTATTCCCTCCACTGTTATTCTTCAGCTTCATCAAAAACAACTCAAGCTCCTCTTTTGTAAGCACTATCTTCACCTTTATGCTGCCTTTCCCTACTTTATTTTCCTTCTCAAACTCGGTTGCAGCTTCACGATTACGAATCTCTTCTAGCTGCTCTTCTCTTTCCTCTTCTTCCAGCTGCCTTGATCTCATCAGGCAATTCCCCATGATTTCTTCACTTCCAACAATTAAAAACCCACTTTTTCCCCTGCAAAAACCACTCCTCCTTGAGTGGATGAACAATCCCAAAAACTTGCTTTGGGAAATCTCAGAAAGGGAAAAAGGTAGTTTCCTGATGACTCTGATGCATGTGAAATTGTGGAAGCGAGTTACTGAGTACTTATAGACAAAATTATACACCTACAGTCCTCTGTATTAATTAAATATATATGTTTTTGGACTTATTTTCTTCACGAGACTTGATTTTTCTACGTGCTAAGTGACAAACTGAACTGTCCACAACATAAACTATTGCTATACATAAACCGTGTTAGAACTTCCGCAAAAGGACAATTAACTTTTAGCAAATCTACCATTCTACCTACGTTTTTGTTGTGATGTGAATATGCGTAGTCTTAGCATTTCATATACTTTATCTTATTTTTAAGGTTTTATATTTAATAAATTGTTAATATATAAATATTACATTATCAATGAACCGTATAATAAGATTTCAAAAAAATTAAGTTAAAGAATTTATATTAATGTTATAAAACGTCAATAAATTAAATAATATTATTTTATACAAAATTAATTTTATTTTTGAGAATTTAAAATTTTAGAATTAATTTTTTTTATAAAATATTATTGTGTGATTCACTTTCCGTATATTTTTTAAATTATAATTTTTTATAAAAAAATAAAAAAAAAAGAGTCTGATAATAATTTTTAACTATAATTGCAGAGAAAACTCACCTTTCTTTTTGTGGTTCAAAGAGAAAATCACAAAATTTCCCTGCCATTTTCTTTGCAATGGCAACTAGTAGGACTATTATTCATTATGAACTTTCGTGGAAATTTTTGAGGAGCCAAAATAATGGAAATTTGGCATATAACTGAGGTTCAACAAACTTAGGTTTACGTCAATAACAATATTATAAGACTCAAGTCCCCCACAAGGCCACGGGAAAAATTAACTTTTTCACTACCATATATTATTAAAGGTTGTTGAAATTGATTTAAAAAGTGAAACTTGTCACATCCACCAAGGCAATGGACTGATTAAACGAAACTCGGTTTTATAACGACTCCAACATTAAGTTTAGAAGCACCAAGTTTAATACTATGTTCTTAATTCTTGTATTTATTTTCTTGTACATCTTTTTTTATTTCCTTAAAATATTTTCCTAAAACCATGCTCTTTATCTATTGCTTAATCTTCTGGATTAATAATGTTAAACATTTCACCTAAAATCAATTAATAATAAGTGAAAATTTTTAATTTGAATAAAAGATAATGAAAATCTAAAATTTAACAAAATGATACCATTTAGCAAATCCTCTCACGCGTAAAGTAAAAAAAAAAAAAAAAAAACTCTACAAAATAACAAATTATAAAAGATATCATATTCAAAGATCATGTAAAACATAAACTCTAATATTATGTTAAGTATTTAATTTAAAAATAAAATGATAATAAATAGAAAGATCCAAATTCAATATAAAATCATAAAAAAAAAAATTCAATGAAACAGATATAAGATGATATCACTTAACAAAAAAGATTTATGAAATTACCATTTTAATTTTCTAATTAACATAAAACAATAGCTATTACTTAGTCAAATTAGTATTTAATTTTTCTTTCCTTTAGTGGTTGGGTATTAAAAAACTTGACCCTTCATGATTTTCTAATTAACATAAAACAATAGCTATCACTTAGTCAGATTAGCATTTAATTTTTCTTTCCTTTAGTGGTCGGTTATTTGTCATAACGTCAAGATCTGGAGATCTATTGCTAGACATTGACTTTTAGGGAGTCGCTACCAATCTTTTTTATCTAGGTGCGATTGGCCACCTAAAGAATCCGTCCTTTCAGGGAACACCTATGCTTAAGGGTCCCTAAAAGAATAGGTTCAGGTCTGCTAACCAGAACAAGGTTCGGGAGTTCGGTTACGTGTGAGGAAGGTTATAGCACCATCACAACGCCCATCAAAAGATGGTACCAGCTAAAATTTGTGTTATCCAAAAGCCTTAAAATTTTATCAAGTAATTAATTATTGGAAATTTTTCTCAATTGACTCTAATACTTTTAGCAAAAAATTGAAAAAATTCTCTCACCTCAAGAGTATGCAAGAAAAACTACTATTTCACTTACAGAGGCTCCGTCGCCGGATTGGTTAAAGAAAAATCAAAATCAAAATCAAAATAGAAAGGAAGAAAAGAATGATTGTTCTTGTGTAGGAAAAATTAATACTTTAAACTTTTTCCTAAAAATATTTTTTGAAAATTTATTTTTAAGGAAAATTGATACTTTCAATTTTTCCTCAAAAATATTTTTTTTGAAAATTTGATTTTCAAGGAAAATTGATACTTTCAACTTTTCCCAAAAAATATTTTTTTGGAAATTTATTTTTTTAAGGAAAATTGATACTTTCAACTCTTCCTTAAAAATATTTTTTGGAAATTTTGATTTTTAAGGAAAATTGATACTTTCAACTTTTCCCAAAAAATATTTTTTTTGGAATTTTTGATTTTTATTTAAAGAAAATAGAATAATAAAAAAAATAAATAAAAATAAAAAAATAAAGAAAAGTAAAACAAAAATAAAAATAAAATAAAGATAAAAAAATATTAAATAGACCTAATCTAATAAATAAAAAATAAAGAAATGAAAAAAAAAAAACCTGGAGCGGCTCGGATCGCGGCTCGGCTCGGCTCGACTCAAGGAAGAAAACAATGGCTCGGAGAAGCGGCTTGGGAGCTCAGCTCGGCTCGGCTTGGCTCGGAGGGGGTGAACACGCGCGGGTCAAATAGCGGGTCGATGCCCGGGTCGGGTCGGGTCTCGACAAAACGCGCGGATCCTCTGGGTAACTTAAGGCCAAAACGACGTCGTTTTGAGAGGGTATAAAAGGTACTTCCCTCTGTTTTTCGACAGAACGCTCCTTCCCTCTCTCTCTCTTCTTCCTTTTTTTCTCTCCCTTCTCTCTAAGGGCTGAAGAACTCCGGTGGGATTTTTGTCGGATTCTAAAAAATGTTGTCGAAATCTAGAAAATGTCATCGAATGTTCACTGGAAGATCACCGGTTTCTGGGATGCTTCGTCGAAAACTGGGCAGGTCACCGGAAACTTCAAATCTTGTCGAAATTTTCGTCAGAAAATTCAACTCTTGCCGGAAAATTCATCGGAATCTGAAAATTTCCCAAAAATTTCCAGAAAAATCTTTGCCAAAAATTTCTAAAAAATTATTTTCGATCCCTACGACTATCCTAACACTTCTCAACCTTCTTTAGCCTTCGAAAACTCTTCTATACACCTCTTTTCTCTCAAAATCAGTAGCTTTACTCACTGTTTTTCTCTGTGTTCTTCATCTGTTCCAAAGGGTCCCTTTTATAGGGATTGATCAAGAGTTCCTGATCAATCCCAATTCCTCATTGGACGTAAATTCAATCTTTGAATCCAACTGGACTCTTCTGATTGAATTTCCATTCCCAGTGGGATTCTTCAACTTCAATCTAAGCCCTCAAAAAATCAAAATAATAAAAAAAAATACTAGATAATTAGAAAAGATAAATTAAAAAAAATATTATAGGATAAATAAAAATAAATAATACTAATATCAGATATATAATTAGATAAATAAAAATACAAAAATAAAAAAAATAAAAATAAAAATATTAGTAATAATAAATAAATAATAAATATATATATGATATACATAAAATATAAAATAAAATAAAAAAAATAACCAAGATACAATTGGACTTACCCATTTGGGCCAGGCCCAATTGATCCGGGCCTGGACCAAATTGGGTGTCTACAGCTGCCCCTCTTTGCACATTTTTTGTGAAACAGAAATTGCGCAAAGACGTAGACACCCAATCAAGACTTAACTCAACATTTTCATTTTTTATTTTTTTTTGTTTTTGTTTTTTTGTTTTTTTGTTTTTTTGTTTTTTTTTTTTTTACCAAAGCTCCTCTAAACAGAGGCTCAACGACTTTGAAAAATAAATTGTTCCTCTAATTAGAGGCTCCACGACTTTGAAAAGTAAATTGCTCCTCTAAACAGAGGCACCACGACTTTGAAAATGTAAATTGCTCCTCTAAACAGAGGCAACGAAACTTTGAAAAATAAATTGCTCCTTGACAATCATGTCCAAAGACGTAGACACCATTCAAGACTCCACTGGATTTTTTTTTTGCTTTTTTTTTTTTTTTTTTTTAAATCTTGATCAAAGCTCCTCTAAGCAGAGGTTCAATGATTTTGGAAAGTAAACAAAGCTCCTCTAAATAGAGGTCAACCTTTTTTATTTTTATTTTTTTTATTTTTTTATCAAAACTTTGATCAAAGCTCCTCTAAGCAGAGGCTCAATGACTTTGAGAAACATAAACAAAGCTCCTCTAAATAGAGGCAACTTTTTGTTTTTTTATTTTTTTTGTTTTTTTTATCAAAGCTCCTCTAAACAGAGGCTCAACGACTTTGAAAAGTAAATTGCTCCTCTAAATAGAGGCACCACGACTTTTGGAAAGTAAATTGCTCATCTAAACAGAGGCACCACGACTTTGAAAATTAAATTGCTCCTCTAAACAAAGGCACCACGACTTTAGAAAGTAAATTGCTCCTCTAGACAGAGGCACCACGACTTTGAAAAGTAAATTGCTCCTCTAAACAGAGGCATCACAACTTTTGGAAGGTAAATTACTCCTCTAAACTGAGGCAACGCGACTTTGAGAAATTAAATTGCTCCTCTAAACAGAGGCACCACGACTTTGAAAAGTAAATTGCTCCTCTAAACAGAGGCACCACGACTTTGAGAAATTAAATTGCTCCTCTAAACAGAGGCAACGGAACTTTGAAAAAGTAAATTGCTCCTTGACAATCATGTCCAAAGGAGTTGAAAGTTGTGTTTGAAGGAATTTCAGGAGATTATGCCTAAAGGTCTTATAAATCAACCCTGATACCAAAAGACATCCTATTTCAAGGATTAGGAACTTACCTGACAAGTTTCTTCTCAAATTTGTAAAATATTTTCATATCTGTCTTCTCTATGTGGGATGTTGGAACACCCCTGCTTCCTGAATTTATACACTATACTTTCCTGAAAGTAGTGTATGCTATGCAATGTGCATGAATTTCAATGCGTGCTATGCAAATGTTGGCCAATTAATTAC